CTTGACAAAGACAGACTTAGTGCAAGATTCTTTATTACATGCTCACTTACAAACGCTCAAAGTCTTGAAAAAAACGTACCCAGTCACAACTGGGGAGGTTAGGCCATGAAGTTGGAAGGACTAAAGGGCACCAATGTTTCAGCCAAAAGGATGGCTGTATGTAGGGTTGTATGCCCAACTCAGAAGAACTCAAGGGCACTTATTTTTCCAGCATTCGAACTTAGCTCTCAGCGCTTGGTCTCAGTTTTGGCCAAGCTATGGTGAGGTAGTGACTTTCAGCTTACCACATCCAAGCACTCAGTTTGCATCACCGCTTTGGTAAGTTGACCTTGGCAGGGGGGTGGTAGGGTGCAACATGTGATGGGAAAATATGGTCAAGAAGAGTCAAGCGTCAAGAGGGGAAGGGCAAGCAGCTGCAAGCAAACACACAGTTTTTTTCCATTGTTTGGATGCTGGATGCTGGAACGTTCTTCACTCAAGGACCCATCCTTGAGACATCTATATAAAGAAGATTGGCTGGTTGATCCAAAAACAGATAGTCTAGAGTATAAATATAAGTTTATAAGATATATATATATATGTTGTTATATTGTTTTCTAACACAAACAAATTCAACCACCATATCTATCAGGACAGTTGAGCATATGCAATCAATGTCCTACATGTTGCTTGGTTATATTCATTCGCATCACTATCACAGTGACCAGCAAATGCCAACCTTCAACTTAGAGCGAACTCTAGGTCATCAAATGCTTAAAATCCTTGGCAACTTTGTTGCCACGTCCCGCGCGAGCACTTGTGGTTTCTGTCCCAAGATGCTTCGTCACAACATCTACACAGCCTTGCCACACACTCAAGTCACCCCACTTGGACATTGTGCGGTTGTGAGCCTCTGTCAATTGAATTTCCTCCATATCAGTGGAACCTTCGGCGAGCTTCAACCGCTCAGCTGGCCTCAACTGTTTCAGATCAAAATTGTAAAATAGGGTCCTTCCATTCCATTGTATTGAGGAAATATATAGACTAATAGACTGGTCTGTCAGTCTGGTCAGTAATGAAGTCAGACTAATGAAAACTCTTGGTGAGTCTGAAGTCTGACCTTGGAATGATTTATATAAAGCCAAGAAACAAATGTCCTCGATTCAGAGCCACATAGAAGGACTCACCACATTGCTGGACAGGGATGTAGTACCCGCCATCCTGAATCTGCTTGATCTCAGCTGCCTCTTTCTCGTCCTCTGGCTTCAGAGTGTTGATTTCTTTAGTCTTTGCTTCATCCAAAGCAACCTTGTTGATCACAAGCGCCGGGCAATTGATCTTGATGCTCTTCCCAGACCGCAGTGTGACTGGAAGCTCTTGTGAATCATCAAAAGTCAGCCTCAATCGTTGTCACATTTGATGAAACATATATTATTGGTATCTCAGTTCGAAAAAACTGAATGGTGTTCAATAGACACTAAATTGTACCCCTGCGCAGACAGGCCAACCCCAGTCATCATACATATACAAATCTGCAAGCTTGGAGTCCAGTCCAGTCTAGTCTCATTCTCAAACACACAAATTCAATTTTGCTAGTACTACATCTAAGGAGCAACGGTGCCTCAATGAAGGTGATGCTGTCAGAAAGCACTTGGCTTTTGGTGCCCTTGTCTTTGGACGCCTTTCGCTTGGGCTTCCTCTTTGCACCACCTTTGCGAGACAATCCCATCGCTTCTGCAGCCATTTCTTCACACGCATCAGATTCAGTGGGCTTGCTAGCTGATGCTCCTGTCCCAGTCCCACCTGTTGAAGTGGGTTCTGATCCACTGAGAAACTGTACCGTTTTGATCTTGCTGGCCTTCCCAGTTTTGCCTTTCATCTTTGCCAATGGAACGATGAAGGCCAAGCAAGGCATCTCAGACCCCATCAAGGAATCCCATCCCTGACCAAAGAGCTGCCAAGGAAGTGAAGGTGCCATCTCCTTGTCCTTTTCAGTGACCAATGGGACAGCTGCTCCCTTAGACTCTAGCCCCACAGTCCCGAAGAAGCGAAGCTGGAAATCCTTCAAGAAATCCCAAGGAACATTCATGAAGACACTTTGATCGGTGGCAGCATCTGTGTCTGCTGGCTTTGCATCACCGGACTGAGTCTTCAGTCGTTTGTTGGCCTTATCTGATGCCTTCTCTGCATTCGCGCTCCAGTTGCTAGCAAAACCAAGCACAAAGATGGTGTTGTTCTCGCCCTTCTCTAACAACTCCTTCTTGGTAAAGATCTTGTCACCCTCAACTTTGATCCCCAACCAAGTCTGCTTGCTGTCCAGGACATTGAACATAATGTTGGTTTGCTTCCATGCCGTTTCTTCGGTGGACCTTCGCACAATAAAATACATTTAAGCTGATGCAACGACTCCAATGACACGGTTCCAACTTAAATTCAAGTCTATTGAATGTAAACATGTAAACATAAAGTTTGTGCATGAGAACATATGACATGAACATAAGGGACAAGTCTTCAAGTCTGGGAAAGTAAACAAACAAAGGCTACTAAAAGAGCCTCGCTACACAGCTTTCTCAAACAAAGCTGTTTGGATCGCCATGCGCTCTCCCACCAGGTCCGCAACAGTTGATGTGGAGATGGTATGGTGCTGAAGCATGAGAGAAAACTTAGTTCACAAAATCAGCTGTGGCTGCATTACATTGCTACACTCAATGCACATGTGATGCAGGGGGCTGGGGAACTACCTCCCCACATGTATTGTAGTGAACTAGCTCACTGCAATCACTGGTGAACTGGGGAACAAACTCCCCAGTGTATTGTCTGTGTATCAGTATCAGTGTCTCAGTGCAACTGGAAAACAATATCTCCTGACCGCCTGACCATTGACCATCCTGTTTGTTGATGCTTATTGACGCAAAATGTGATCCTTCCTTCCTTCATTTAGCAAAGTCACTGATAGCGGGGTTGGATGTGCATCAGTCGCTGCTATGGTTGGTGTGCTTGATGAAGTATCACCTGCTTCACCCACATTGCCAGTGGCTCCAGGAGCGGAAGCTTTGTCAGCAGATGCTGCCTTCAGATTCGCAGTCACTCAAATGGATGAGTTGACATTGACACTGAAGACACCTAAACAACATTATATATAATTGATCATGAATCATTTTGATCATAGATGGACTGGTCTCAGGACATGACATGACCTATGGATCTCACATGTATATAGCAATATAAAACTGACTATTATTGGTGCCATGGAACTTGCAAAGCAGCTTTCAAAGCAGCTTCAATCTCCTTGGGGCGGACACATCACAAGCCCATCCGAGTCATACAACCATTGTTACAACCATGCAAAAGATGTTACAAATGTTTCAAGTCTCAGTCTCATAGACTCATCAAGTAACACGTCAACAACTCAAGAACATATTATAAGAAAAGTGCTGTCGAACTGTAAAACAAGTTGCGACTTCCATGCGCTTCTTGTCAAGCACGGTGCATGATGATTTGAATTTAATGGCAACGTCCAAGAGCTTTGACCAATTGCTAACAAACGATGCACGGTCTTGGGTGATGACATCCAAATCAGCAAGTTGCCTGGAAACTTTCTTGTTCTCCAAGATCTCAATGCACCCTTTCAGCCAAGGGTGACTTGACGTGCTATCGTCAACATTCATGTCGTTGCCACCCTCAGCCTGAAGGTTGCAAAAATGCAAACTTTCCTGCCTGCCTGCTGCCTCCAAGCACATACATTGGTTTACTAAAACTAATTGTCAATATGAATCAATTTTACACAGTCAATTGAGTCAATTGTCAACTTGGTTTCTTGACTTCATGAACTCATTTGTTTTGAACATCTTTGGGAAAGTTGAATTCCACCAAGTAACCTCATGAGCATGATGCACCATCTTGTACGCAGTCTCAGGAGCATAGCTTGCAAAGTGTAGTAGTCCAAGTGTGGCCTGAGACCTCAACTGCTTGACCTCTAGGAGCGTCTCATTGCTGACCCCCATCGTCTTCATGATGTCAGGTAACATCCAGTGCTGTTGGTAATGCTTGACCAAGGCATCAACATACACGCTGACAACAGTAGGCCACTCTTGAAACACAATGCGCCCACACTCATAGCTCAGGTCAAGCGCAGAGACTGAGCCTCCATGAACGGCGCAGTCTGCATTCCTAAGCTTGTCTGAATATTCACCTTACCTCACCTGCCTCACCTTTAACTTATAGCTTCGGACAAAAGACCACTGAGTATCTGACTGTTGAGTGAACTGTAAACAGGAACTGTTTTGATTGCTAGAAACTTACGCTTTGCTTTTCAAATCTCACCAAATTGTCAAATTGCCAAGCTTGAAGATTTGACAACCAAGCAGCTCCACATGGTGTCCATCTTCTCCAGAAACACGCTTGCAGCCACAAGATTGCGCGATGCACACCATCATGTTGCGAATCACTGGGGCACATCCAGGGTCCCTCAGCTGAATCAAATTCTGATGTTGTCAGTAGTCAGTTGTCAACATCTCACCATGCCCACCCAACAAACAGCCTGCCTAACAGCCTAACAGCAGCATAATTAATTATGAATTGTGTGTTTTGTTTTTGTACGTGTCTTGTTTTGCTTTGTCGCTTGGATCGTTTGCAATTGGACAATTTATTGGACAATTGGGCAATGCCAAGCATCTTTCTGAGGTCATTCAGCCTGGCCGCCAGCTTGTCCCCAAACTCTTTCGTGGACTTGCATTGCGGAACACCCAAGCCCTCCTGCGCAAAGAAAACAAACGCTTTCAAGTTCTTCTCGTCTTCAATGATAGATGCCGCTGGATCAGCCTCATTGACAATTGAGACAAGTTCACATCACATCTGAACATTTGAGAGACACAAACTCTTCACTACAGACAGACTACTGCCAATCCTACAATCACTTACTGTAACCTAAGCCTAAGACCCACAGTTAGCTGTTTGCTATTTGATCACTTTTTTGTCATGGACTGCCTTCTTCTGAGAAGTCTTTGCTCTTGCTGAGGAGGTTGAGGTCGATGAAGTTGATGTATCGCCCAAAAACTTCTGAAGCTTATCCACCATAGACTGGTCAGAGCCCACACTGAAGCTGAAGTTAGGCAGCACAGCTTTCAATACAGAGTTGTAGAGCTCATTCATGCAATGGGCTTTGATCTTGCTAAAGGCAGTCAAAGGCTTGTCGGTGCCAACATCACATTTGCCGGTGAAGCAAAAGGCCAAGAGCTTTGAAAAGAAGGGACCAATGAGCTTCCTCTGCGCAGTAGGGTTGGTCCTGAATCAGTGGGCGGTGGTCAGGCTCAGGTGCTCATGTGGTCATGTGGTCCAAGGTTGATCAAAAAGAAAGCGACAAATTCATCAGGTTGCCAGGTTCAGGGTGTGTATGTCCATCAAGCAATTGCAAAGACTTAAAGCTTGAATTGCATTTAGCCAAGATTCAAGTTCAGCGAAGCTACGTTGGAAAAGTCGCGGTCAATCAACGAGATGACATAGGAAGCGGATCCCACAATGATGTCAGCAAAGGTCTTGACCCTCTTCTTCTGGGTATGCAAAGTGATGACTTCTTCAGAGCACAAGCGAAAGCTGTCCACGCCATGAACACTGTTGCCTGCCTTGGCCTTTGCTTTCGCCTTGGGTAGTTTCTTGGCTTGCTTGGAAGTGTCAGAAGAAGACTTGACCACCTCAGATCCTTCCATCTTGGTAACCATCCGCGTGGCCAACTCTGGACGAGCTTTGTCAAAGATCCACTCCACCCCATTCTCATAGTCATCCAGCCAAGGAACCTTAAATCACGTTTTTGAAACAATGACAACTGAAGGTGGAAAGCTATAAAGGTTACTGAGGACACCCACTGGGACCCACCACATAGGTCATTGATTAACTTCTTTAGGAGGTGTTTGCCTTTGATCATTACACGTACCAAAAAAACAAACAACACACATAAAACAACTGCCAAACTGCCAAACCTATCAAGAAACACAGAATTTGATGGCTTCCCAAGTCAAGATCTGAAACATAGACCTGTGTGGTGGCATCGTTTTGGTGGCACACCAAACCTCAAACCTCTTTTGAAATTTACAGACAGTAATACAATAGAAGATGTTGCACTGCACTGACCGACTGACCATTGAGTTTGATACAACCGGCAGGCCTGTCTTCCGCATCATCCATGCAATTCTGTGTCAAGATGCTGACAATGTTGTGAACAGAGTTGAAGCATGTCTCTGGAGTGAATGAGTCTCGCAGGATGTCTGCGCCATTGTTGAGCTGTTCCACTACAAACTCCAGCAAATTTAAGCTGTTCAAAGCGTTGGCGACAACCTTGCATTGATCAAAGGCACGGAAGCTCCTGCGACAAGCAGTCAACAAACTCATGTTTCGTTCTGCCACTAGCAGAAGTCACTCACAAAATCTTTGCTGTGAACGCTTTGATTGAAGTTCAGCCTCTCAGTCACACAGTATCTATCTTTTATTCTTGCATATTCTATTCTCAACAACAAAAACTTAAAATGAATAGAGTATAAAGTACATTAAAAACAACATTGAAAGCTCATCTCCTCCAAACACCGACGAACCTGTTGCTCACAAAGCTCCAGTATTGTGCCTCATAGTTTGCTGATTGGCGACCGGTTGAGCCAAGCTTGGATCTGTAGTCACGCCAAGCAGCCTCAGCCTCAGGTCTGTGGTTGCAGCAATCGAAAAGTTTAACCGTTTATCCGTGGTGATAGTGATGATCACCTAGGACTTAAGGCAAGACATGGCAAGACATTGAGCGCCTGTTAGCCTGTTAATCCATCAATCGTGTATTCAAAACTGTTGCGTTGAATTGATAATTAATAATGTACCAAGCAACCTTCCTTACAAGCTTCAACTGGACCATAACATCTTTCTGGTTGGAGACACCGTTGTGATACTTGATCAAGAAGTCCTTAGCCTCTGCTGGCATGTCGCTGAAAACCTCAGCCTCAACGCCCTCTTCAACGCTCTTGGTGATCATGGCGTTCTTGGAACCATTCTCGATGTTCTTCTTGTTGGCCAAATCCACGGCCTCACTCCTGATATTGTGGTAAGGATAATGCACAATGGTCACAATTGTGTCTTAAACTGTTTAGTATGCTGTTCTGAAGCAACAACAATATTACCCGACTGACATACACAAACAAAATGCAAAACGTTCATCCTTGCAAAAAGCAAACTGCCGGGCCCAGGACTGAACACTGAACACTGAAAATCAAAAGTCTTTTAAATCTGTTGAACTACAGGCCAAGTATCATATGACCCCAGGAAAGGCACAAGTAAGGCCTCAAGGACTCCAAGAGAAAA